AGAACAGGAACCGCCAGACCGACCGCCCAACAAAGATGCAATCAGCTGCCCTCGACGGAGTGTTGACTCACAAAGCACACAGGCAAAACGCCCGTCAACCATATCCCGAGAGGTCTAGGCAGCGAGAGGGGAGAAAAAGCGATCAGCGTGAGGCCGAGCAACACAACACTGCCACTTAAAATTAAATTTCTGATCGATTAAGTGCAGTTTACGCTTTGACAATGGAGAGCCGACCCAGCTCTTTGAAACGTCAGCAGTTAAATAAACCTGTTCCGGAGAGCCTACGTTCTTCAAATAATCAACCCTGATCTCTCGACTTTGTCAATCTGAAGGGAGTCTGTTTGAAAATTGCAGTCAATACTTCGCGAGTTTCGGCGCGTCACAATTGTTCTCCTCGTTGCGACGGATTCAGTAAGGTTTGAAGGTAGCCCGAAAATAAATTTACATAGTTATTTGTGGGCCTATCAAGAAGCACTCCAGTGTTCATGCAATACCGTAATTGATACCGACTGCGCACATGCTGAAAAGCGCCTCCTTTACAAACGATAAATTTCAGTCGATGCAAAAATCCACGTCCGAACCTCAACCATTCCCATAATTATGAACCAAATGGTCCCGCTCTTCGAGTTCGAAATTCAAAATAAATAACGCTTTCGTGCGTCCTTTACACAAAATGTGACCGGACTTGGGTGGGCATCTAAAGGAGTACATCGGACTGAAGCGGCGACTCTTCCAGGCAGACTGTTAACATACGTGAGTGAAGAAATGTCCGAAAGTCAACTTCGTGTCGTGCAAAAATTAACTTCGGATTATGCTCCATGCCGAGTAGTACTGAAATTACAACTGAGTAGTCCCTCCCATGCAGTCGATATTTCATGAGTTTCGGCGCCTAACAGCGCGTCTGCAGGGAAGGGAATCGGATCAAAAGTGCAGGAGGGTCTGCGCAGACTGGAGCCAGTGGCCTTCCACAAATACCGAAATTCTAGGTTCCGTATTTTCGAATTGAAATGCTCTCTGTGCCAGGAATGAAGACTGTTCATACGGCTTAAGGGAACATCTGGACTGAAATCATGAGGAACAGCATACCACCCCGACCCTCTGTATGTCAGACATTGGTGCGCCCGACATGAAGACACCAGTGTAGGGAAGAAATTTATAATTTCCTTGTCTCACTTGGTGTATTGGACCACAGTTTAATCAAGTTAGAGTGCTCATAGTGTGGAGTGTACATGCGAAGGAGCTGCGAATTGTTTGAATCATGGCTCCCACTGGAAAATGGCCAGCTTTAGCAGGGACTTCCCCTACTGCTTACCAGGCGCTATGACTTCAGTTTAATAAAGTGACAGTTAAAAAAGCTCGCTTAGTAATTGTACTAATGGATGCCGTTGCCGGGCAACCACCGCTATTGGTGATGCAGGGACGCCACAACAACAATCGCGTGAACATCGCCTGATCGACCACACACAGAGAGACAAATAAACGCCGTGCTCTTTTGCGTGTGTGTGTAGATTTCTGCCACCGGCGATGGGTGGCAGCGCAAAGCAGAGATAGTAATTAAGTAGACTGGGAGATCGGGAAAAAATGGAAAGTGTAGATTCAGCCTTACAACTAGGATAGGCCGGTGGGCTTCACCCTCAGCCGACTTCGAATATTGCTGTTTGCAGTCGACAGGACGTGGGTCTGTAGTTCGATGAAAACAGCTTCTGGCCTAATAACCTTGATTCGGGCGTTGGGTCCGCCGGGACGGGGGGAGGCTTGGGGTAAAACAGGCTGACGAAGTCAGAAGTAGTAATTTCAGCTTTCCGTATATATTGTAGAATGCGCATTACGTAGCTATTTCACGGTAGTCTATTGTCTTCGACTCAAATGTTCACTGAAATGTCGAATCCGACCCTAAAACGTCATGCCCCGCAGACTTGATTCCATGTCCTGTACAGAATAAAGTCTAAATTTATTCGATTGATCCTTCTCTGGAGTTGATATACCAGAAACCTCATAGAGAACGCTGGGGAACCCACCGAAACGCCGGATCGAGTGAGATCCTAACCACAACAGTGAGGGTCAAACGCCCACTTGACTTGCATATATATATATATATGCAGAATGATATTACCGACAAAGACAAGGGAGACTGGAATGGCCATTTCTGGCTTATTAGCCGTCGTCAGCCAGTCATACCCAACCCCGAAGTGTGGCACACCCGAGGCTCGAACTCGCGGCCTGTTTTGTTAGAAGTCCACGCCTCTAACCACTGGGCCACGAGCCCGTTGCCCTGTCGGTTTTCGATCGGGAATATACAATGGTAGGGGGCGTTCACCGATCGTTCTTAAGAAACTAACTCGTTCCGTTGTGTCTTATGGACTCTCTCTCTCGAGCCTAACCAGCAGCCGCACAGCGGCGCATGATACAGGCAGAATGATATTACCAACAAAGAAAAGGGAGACTGGAATGACTATTTCTGGCTTACTAGCCGCCGTCAACCAGTCATACCCAACCCCGATGTGTGGAACACCCGAGGCTCGAACTCGCGACCTGTCCACGCCTCTAACCACTGGGCCACGAGCCCGTTGCCCTGTCGGTTTCGATCGGGAAAATAAAATGGTAGGGGCACTCACCGATCGTTCTTACGGAAGTCACTCGTTCCGTTGTGCCTGACAACGGCTAATAGGCCAGAAGTGGTCATTCCAGTCTTCCTTGTCTTTGTCGATAATAACACACACATATATATATATATGACTTGAAAAACAAACATCCCAAAAAATTTAATTTGGAAAGATGAAATTCTTCGCGAAACTGTAACGTTTATTGTGAACATTTTCGAGACTGGTGCAGCTCGTTTTCAGACTATGGGCGCACCGATCTTTCATATCGAGTGTGCATTCTTTTACTCATTTGGTAGAAAATCACATTGTCTTTACATTTGGTACCGAAAAAGTGTATATTTTGGCTTCGAAAGTTTCCCAATTCTCGAATAATTTCAAGCCTGATCGGCCGTTGCATTAGCGTTTAGCTGTTGCAGTCTACAAGGTGCATGCTTTCCGTGTAAGGAAAATCATATATTCCTCTACGCCTTTAAGAAGATACCATATACAGTTCAGATACTGTTGCAAAGGATGCGGACTATGTTGTACATTTTATGAGGGGCGGTGGTAAAAGGACACGTGCGACGCTGTATGTAGGGACATCGCACAATTTTAAAAATCTCATAATTAGAAAATTTTCTAAAACCGAAAGATAACTTTTCTTGGGGTAAAAAGTGTAAAGACCATGTGATTTTCTATCAAGCAAGTAAAAGAAAACATGCCTTTGTCCAAGTTTTCCATAAAATATATTTGAATTTAAAAGACCATCGAAAATCAATGTGAAAAATGCATGCTAGTTAAGCAGTCATTTTTTTGCCGAGTGTGGTTTCTTCAGGAGGTCGAAAAGAAGTGCATTCGAAAGCCGATATCCTAGCGAGTCGAAAATATTATAGGATTTTGCCGCATGATAATCAATAGTACAACCCCACCTAAGTAACCCTTCCTAGTCGAAAACGCATTTCAGAATTTCGACCATCATTTCATGAAATCAGTCACGCACTTTATCTGACGGTGGTGGGGCTGTGCGCCCTAGGCATGTCTCTGAGTTGAAAAACAGTGCATAGCAAGTTCGGTAGAGGGGAAATTTCAAACGGCCTAACTTACCAGGAGACAGCGTTTGGTGACCTCGGGACCAACTGCGAGCTGAAGGTCAGTGAATTTGTTGGCCAGCAGACAGCGGGCTCGCCACGATTTGAAGGCAATGGCCTTGAGCACCGCCGGGATGAGGTGTTCCTCACACTCCTCTGGGCTGAGGGCTCGGGCGAAGGCTACCGTGGACTCCAGCGCCAAGATGCGCACCGATTCTTGGTCGTCATAGGCCAGAGTGTTGAAGAGGGGCAGCAGGACTGAGACGATCTGTTTTCGGGCCGCCAGCACCTCCGGCGTCTCCTCCAGACGAGGCAGGGTTGTAACGGTCGCGTTGGGTGTCAATCCGGGGCTGCCATCGCGCTTTGTTCCGCTCGGGTCAGCTTTGCCGCCACTGCCGCCGCCAACCAGGAAGTTTAGGGATTCCGAGCTCTCGGACTGGGACTCGGAGAGGAGACGGTCAACTTCTTGGGCGGCCGAGGAACGATCCCGCTCCGGCGGACAACCGACCATTGATAGGGCAAGTTCGCCGAGGACACCGGCCAGTGCGCGACGCACCATCGGAGTGTCATCGCTGATAGACCGGTGATAGTGTAGGGAAATATGGGGTCAAAGTTAGTGTCGAGGAACCAGCCTGTGAGTCTGTTCATCCTTCAGATAGATTACGTTCTTACACCCTCTCCGCCCCGCATTCCCTGCCACCACAACCCATGTGCTATAGTAAACCGCGCAAGTGGAGTGAACTTGTCAAACTGCTACCCAAAAAGATGACCAAGATGCGAAAAGTTAAACAGCACAGAAAACTGCGAAGTAGCAGAGTTAAGCCTAAGGCTCAGTTAGTAGCGTCAACAGTGAAGACAGGTACCGTCTGTCCTGGTTCAGTACGGGAAGCCATGGCTGTGAGTGGTTAGACTAGATGAATGTTGAATACATAAGACAGGTTGAAAAATAAACCTGTGGTAGACAACACCTGGTGGACGACAGTTGACAGTATAGACGCGGATAGTGGGACATTCGTTCCCGATGCTGTGTACAGGAGGTCTGGTCAAACTAGTGAAGGTTACCCATTTCCGCTTGTGAATACTAGCTATCTGAGGTGAAATCGTGCTCTCGACACTACTGCTACGTACTCATTTGGTAGAGTCACTTCTTCAAATCTTATACTCGAAGCGCATCTTTTGGTTTTAAAATAGTTCTTCAACAACCTGTCATGCAAACATAAGCCCCTGGCTAAATTCCATCTTATCCACTACTTTTATATTTCTCCTTTTAGTTCCGGTACGTCAACTGTAAGATGAATAAAGCCCTGTTATAGGGTATTCTTATTCTGACTCTTGCATCCATATTTGTTCGTCCTCTCCATCTCGTGTGCTTGCTACGGTCCTAGCTACAACACCCCCTAATAATTTGGAGTCCGATCTGCCTGGGCAGTTGCATTTAGGGTTTTCAGTCTACCTGCTGTATGCCTCCCATGTACAGAAAATCATACGTTCCTCTATGCCATTATGAAGATACCATATAGGGCTCCTACAGCTTTGCAATAGATGAGTTGTGTTGTGCACCTCAGAAGCATTATTAAACAGACGGACACAATGCTATGTGAATGGATATTGCACGATTTTAAAAAAACTCGTTTATAGAAACTTTTTAAAAACCCGAAGATACTCCTTTGAAAATACTATTTAGGGTGAATGTAATGTACTATCAAATGAGTACATGAGAGAATATTTTCCTGTACGTCTTCTATAAAATATATTTGAATTTATAAGCACATCGAATATCGACGGATGAAAACGGACACTACTTACGTAGTTATTTTTCACGGATGTAGTTTTTGTAGGCGGTCAAAAAGAAGTCCATTCAAAAGCCAACATCCCAGCGTGTCTGAAATATCACTTAAGCAATCCTTCCTAGTTGGAGGCACATTCCAGAATTTCAGCTAAAACTCCACGAGATTGTTCCCTGACTGTGTCTTTGACGATGGAACAGACAACCGATCAGGAAATTCAGATGAATAAACAATATTTTCCAGCGAGCGACGCTGCTTCAGTAACTTCGATAAGCACCTTCGCACCGAGAAGTTACAGTAGCTTTTAGTATCACAGAAAAGTTGGACGGACGTGGGTTTTAACTGGTGTCGACAGCTAATCTGCGTGCTGTTTAACGCTTTCCAGGGTACATGGTGCTTAGCGAGGTCGGGGTTAAATTGCCACCAATCCCCGCACGAGGTAAGTCTGTTTAATCACAAAAACTGCGAGTAGGACTCCCGAGAGACTGCCTGTGTGTAGGCAATGAGGAATATTCGCAAAGGCACTGGAATAATTGGCAAGTGTTGGGAAAGTCTGCAGGACACTAGGTCCCATGCAGCAAACTGAAAGAAACAAATCAAATTGCGGCAGAAAATTGCTTCACGTAGGCAGACCCCTCAATCCAACCGGGCTTAATGATCTCTAACAGCATCTAAGCGGTCCGAGAGTCCCGCATGCCGCTCGTCAACTTCGCCTTTATGGGAGACATTGCCTTAAACTATAAGATTACGCAGGTTAGTGTTAATTGCAAGAAGTTACATGCGGAAAATCCAAGAATACGAAGTGGGATAATGTCCGCTTATTCGGCCTTTCGTCCTGTCTAAGACTGGCTTAATCCAACAGAGCGGTGCATCACTCCTGGTAATTCACAATGTAAACAAGATTCGTGCTTTTAAACTGAAACTCCACTAATATAACGATAAGTTTGTCGGTCATAAATGACGCGATCCTCCACTGACCCAGAGAGGGCACAATAAATTGTGTGTGAGCTTGTTTATGGTGAAGCGAGCATGCGCAGCGCTTAGAGGGTTCTATACTACCACATAAATTGTACTCTATTGGCAAGACGGCTGGCGCAGTTGTTGACAAAGTTAGGCAGTCCGTCTGTGCGTGCCAAACACGATCTGCCATCCAATTTCACGTGAGCCGGGCTCCAAGGAAGGAGGCCGCATTTTGTATAAATGAGATTTCCAACAGAGGCCACACTAAGGAGTCAGTGAAGGCTGACCCTC